AAGAGAAAGAAGAGAGAAGTGAAGAAGAAATTAATAATTCCGATCAGATGCAGACGAAAAAGAAAAAGAAAAAATAAGAATAACAAGAATTCGATAAGAGAAAAAGACGCAGACACACACAAAAAAGAAAAGAATTCCGATAAAAAGAGAAGAGAAGAAGAAGAATTCCGATGAAAAAGGAAGACGACGTAGACAAAAAAAGGGAAAACAAGAGAAAAAAGAACAAGAATAACAAGAATTCCGATAAAAAGAGAAGAAGAAGCAGACGAAAAAAGAAAAAAAAAACAAGAATAATAAGAATTCCTTTAAGAAGATGAGAAAACGTGGACGAAAAAAAAGAAAAAAAAATCAAGAATAATAAGAATCCCATTCAAAAAGAAGAGAAGAAAACGCAAACAAAAAAAATAGAATAAAACAGACAAGCAAAAACAAACAGCAAGAATTAGACAAATGGACATGAAAAGAAAAACGCAGACCTTAAAAATGAAAATAAACAAAAAAAAAAATAAAAGAGAGAGAGAGAGAGAGAGACAAGAATTAGAAACAAAATGGACCCTGAAAAGAAAACGCACACCTAAAAGAGAGAGAGAGAGAGAGAGAAAACAAGAATTAGGAACAAAATGGACCATGAAAAGAACGCACACCTAAAAGAGAGAGAGAAGAGAGAGAAAACAGAATTAGGACAAAAAATGGACCATGAAAAGAACTCCCTCGCTTTCTTCCCCCTTCCCCAGAAAATGTAATACTCGCCTCTATTGTTGAAAGGAAGTTTCAGATACAAATGGTTCTCCTGAAGAGTTCTTCGCCGCTGCTCTCTCTCTCCCTCCCTTTGGCGGAGTTGATTCAAAGGAGAGCTCTTAAGGGGGGGAAGGGAGGGAGGGAGGGAGAGGGAGGAGGGGGACACGCGTGGATATTTGTGGGAGGGAGAGGGATGGGGGAGGGAGAGAGGGTTGGGGGAGGAGGGGGAATGGGAGAGCGGGTTGGGGGAGGGGGGAGGGAGAGGGAGATGGGGGAGGAGATGGGGAGAGGGGAGGGGACGGGAGAGAGGATGGGGAGAGGGGGTAGAGAGCGAGGGGGGGAAGGAGGAAGAAGGAAGAACAAAGAGAGAGAGAGAGGGAGGGGTTGAAGATGAAGAGGTATAGAGAGAGAGAGAGCCGAAGAGAGAGAGAGAGGGGGGGGGGAAAGGGAAGGAGAGAGAGAAGGGTTAAGGAAGGTAGAGAGAGTGAGTGAGAGAGAGAGATGGGTGGTTCAAGGGAGGTAGAGAAAAAGAGATAAAGACGAGAGAGACAGAGAGAGAGAGAGAGGGAAGCATCAGAAGAGAAAATGAAAGAGAGAGAAGAAAAAATGGGAAGAGGACGGATTGAGAGCGAGAAAAGAAAACAAAAGAAAAGCAACAACAAAGACAAAATGAAGAGCGAAAGGCGAAGAAGCGAAGAAAGACAAACAGACGGAGATAAACGCAAAGAGAAAGAAATAAATAAAAAGAAAAAGAGAGAGAGAAAGTCAAGAAATAAGGCAGATACAAACAGAAAAGGAAGAAAGAAAGAAAACAAGAATGAAAGAGAAAAAAGGAGGAAAGAAAACATGACACAGCAAGCGCCTTGTAGCCATCTTTGTTACTCCACCCTCTCTGCATCTCTCCCTCTTCCCCTCTTCTCTCCTCTCTCCCTCTCTCCTCTTCCTCTTCTCTGCCTCTCTCCCTCTCTCCTCTCTTCCCTCTCTCTGCTCCCTCCTTTCTTTTCTCCTCTGCCTCTCTCCTCTTCCCCTACCCCTCCCTTCCCCCTCAACCTCTTTCTCTTCCTCCTCTCTCCCCTCCTCCACCTTTCCTCTCCACTCTCTTCCCCTCTTTCTCTCCCTCTCCCTCTCCCCCCTCTCTCTCCCTTCTCTCCTTCCCCTTCCTCTCTCCTTCTCCCCCCTCCCTCTCCCCCCCTTTGGAGTTAATCCTGGAGGAGTGCCGGAAGCCTGTTCCTCCTGGAGCTCATCCTAGGAAGGACCTCAATGCATTAGGAAGGAGAGGATGCCAGACTAGGATTAGGACTACGGTTACTAGGATTAAGGACACGACTCCCCAGAGGATGGCTAGCAATACGCCTATTAGGGATCTTTGGATTTCTATTGGATCGCTGTTTTGGAAATTAAAAAGAAAAAAATAGAGAGAGAGAGAGAGAAAGGGAGAGAGAGAGAGAGAGAGAGAGAGAGAGAGAGAGAGAGAGAGAGAGAGGAAGGGAGTGATGAATGTACCAAATTAGGAAGACGAAAAAAATGACACCATCTTTGGATGTATATGAATTGATATGCAGTTTGCTTTATTGGTCTATAAATCAATGTGATTAAATCATAGTAGTGGAGGTTTCAGTAAGGAAAAAAATATAATAAATAGGATCAATAAATGAGATTTAATTTTTTATTCAGTAACACTCTCAGTCGAGCTCACATATTCGACGAATCTTACTTCAGAATCGATATATTTTTTTTTCTTTCTTTCTTTCTTTCTTTCTTTCTTTTAAGTTCGTCCTCTCACATTCGGGTTATATATATTGCTTCACTCGGTGTTTTATCAAGAGATTTTGTCAATACCTGTTCGCATATTCATTTTAAGTTTGGTTGAATATTTATTTCTAATAAATTATTCTATGTGTTGTGCATGTATCTGTGAAATGGATGAATAGATTGATTGAGAGAGAGAGAGAGACAGACAGATAGAGAGTGAGAGAGAAAGAGAGATAGGGAATGAGCGAGAGGGAGGGAGTAGGGAATGAGCGAGAGAGAGAGAGAGAGAAAGAGAATGGGATAGAAGTGATAGAACAGAGAAAGAAAAAGGGAGAAACACACGCATAGAGACAGATAATTGAGACAAAAAAGACAAAAATAGAGAAAGAATGAGAGACTGAGAGAGAGAGACAGACAGACAGAATAACAGAATAAGAGAAAAAACAGGCACAGATTAAAAAAAAAAAAAAACGAAAGAGAATGCCATACAAAAGTCAACTAAAAGAGAGAGAGAGAGAGAGAGAGAGAGAGAGAGAGAGAGAGAGAGAGAGAGAGAGAGAGAGAGAGAGAGGAGAAAGAGAGAGAGAAAGTTAATAAATAAATCCGATTCTCTAAAAGCTAATTCTGTTTCCGTTGTGTTTCCAGGGAGACCTGAGCAAGTCTGACACCAGGGCCGTCTTCCTTACCGTCCATGACATGGGATGCAACCGTGAGTATTTTTTTCTCTTGCAATCTTCATATTACCTTTTTTTGTGTTTCTCTTTCAGTTCTCATCTCTCTTTATCTATTTATCTGTGTATCTATCTATCTATCTATCTATCTATCTATCTATCTATCTATCTATCTACCTCTCTCCCTATGTATCTATCTGTCTGTCTGCCTGTCTGACTATATATCTATCTCTCTTGCTATATATCTCTATCTCTATCTTTCTGTTCCTCTCTCTCTCTCTGCCCTCTCTCTTCCTTCCTCTCTCTCGTCTCTCCTCTCTCTTCTCATACTCTCTCTCTCTCACTCTCGTCTCTCTCTCTCTCTCCTCTCTCTCTCTTCTCTCTTCTCCTTTCTCTCTTCTGTCTCTCAGCTC